GAATCAAATATGTCATGAAGATAATGCAACAATTACAAGTAGTACTGCAGGAATCAAATATGTCATGAAGATAATGCAACAATTACAAGTAGTACTGCAAGAATCAAATATGTCATGAAGATAATGCAACAGTTACAAGTAGTATTGCAGGAATCAAATACGTCATGAAGATAATGTAACAGTTGTAAGAGATAGTGTAGAAATAAAAAATGTCAGAAAGATAAAACAACAGTTGTAAGAAGTAGTGCAAAAATCAAAGAATCAACAAGCCTTATTATTTTAGAGAATATAGCATTTCTTTCCTTAAACAAAACATTTTTTTTTCAAAGATGCTTTTACACAAAATAAGGCCTATCTAAGGGGAAACGCCATGTTCTCTCGAGCAATAAATTTTGTTTAAGGAAATAAATGCCATGTCCTTACACAAAACTTATTTTTCAAGAGAACATGGCTTTTTTTCTTTAAACAAACTTTATTGTTCTAGAGAATATGGCATTTCTTTCTTTAAACAAGCCTTATTGTTCGAGATAGAAGGGCATTTCTTTTTTAAACATTATTTTTCAAGAGAACAGAATAATTCTTTCCTTAAATAAGCCTTATTTTCTAGAGAGCAGAGCAATTATTTCCTTAAACAAGACTTATTGTTTCAGATAGAATATCATTTATTTTCATTTCCTTCCTTAAAAAAATCTTATTGTTCGAGATAGCATGACGTTTTGTTTTTTTTCTTAAACAAGCCCTATTGCTCGAGAGTATGCCCTGCAGTTGTCAGACAGGCCCTCCGGTGCAGTTTATTCCATGCAAGCGACATCTAGTTAATTTCTTTTTTAAAGACGGGAACGTTCATGTATTACTAATACGACTTTGTCCACTTGTGTACGTAACTAAGATATGAAATTGTTCAGGTTTACATATATAATTTCCAAAGTTGTGAGAATGATCTAAAATGTTTGTTTTGAGAACCGTGTACGTAAGCTTCTCCTTATGACTAAAGCAGTTTGTCTGAGCAGGCAAGTTAGTAACCATATCTCTTGCTAGAACTTTTAATTCCGAAAGCTGAGATGCACCTTTTTTTATTTGTAATTACTTTAACATAACGAAACTTTAATGAAAGGGGATTTATTTCCCATTTCTTCATATCAACATTTTGTTTTTGTTTTTAGAAATTAGTGCTTATTATATAGTGTAAATGGTCCACTCTTAAACATTACTGATGAAATCTGCTTATACTTCCGTATTGTAGCTGTAAAGACAAAAAATAGCGAATGTTTAGCGGGCTAATTCTGCGAACAAATTTTGTCGCTTTAGATAATATTATAACGCTGAAAACCGGTTAATTACGCGATAATTTAAACAAAAATAAACTCATGTTCTGAAATTTGTTTGGGTTCACTGGTATAAAACAAGGATAGTGATGTTAACTTTCACTATTCACGTGCAGTAAAGAAGCGAAAACTTAAAGTTGGAAGGAGGTCCATACGCAATACGTTTGTTTGTTTGTAATTAAGCACAAAGCTACACAATGGGCTATCTGTGCTCTGCCCACCACGGGTATCGAAACCCGGTTTCTAGCGTTGTAAGTCCGCAGACATACCGCTGTGCCACTGGGGAGCACGCAATACGTCCAGCAAAATACTCTGAGTTACAAAAGTAAAAAAAAAATTAATAAATACTGCAATTAAATTTCAATTATGATTAATTCCTTGATAAGTGAAAACCTTATACAGCTCTAGTTTGCCATTACTTTAATATTTCAATATCCTCGTTTTAATAAAAATGTAAGGGATATTTGCTCACTCTGTCAATAAAACAGGGAGCTGTAGAAGAAATACGTCGATCATACATCTAATCTCCATACGGGCCTGGAATGGCCAGGTGGTTAGGGCGTTCGACTCGCAATCTGAGTGTCGCGGGATTGAATCCCCGTCCCACCAAACATACTCGCCCTTTCAGCCGTGGGGGCGTTATAGTGTTACGGTGAATCCCACTATTATTTGGTAAAAGAATATCCCAAGAGTTGGTGGTGGTTGATGATGACTAGGTGCCTTCCCTCTAATCTTTCACTGCTAAATTAGGGATGGATAGCGCAAATATCCCTCGTGTAGCTTTGCGCGAAATTAAAGCCAAATCTCCATATATTTAGCATTAAGTAGAACAAAAAGGCTGAATTGTGTTTTTCTCTCTGTTTTCTATTCAATTGATATAAGTGAGAACTTGAGCACGACAACAAAAGTTTGGTTTCCTGAATGCTACTCCTCACGTCCTATTGGGAGGATTAATCCCTTATATAAGATTAAATGACTTTGAGCTCGTGAACACAGTGTAATACTGGATTATTTTACGGTAAAATAAAGCTTCTATGTTCAACCTTAACTAGGATGTGGTTTATTTCGGGCATTAGAACAAAGCTACACAAGAGCTATCTTCGATAGCCGTCTCTAACTTTGAACTTAAAGATTATAAGAGTTAGACTACAGTACCCACCGTTAACTAGTGGGGCTCGTCTAACCCAATAGTGGGATTTGACGGTCAGTCTTATAATGTACTCACGGGACGGGAATTTGGAATTTTCGAATCCACAGTCCAGCGCGCTAACCATTATGCTCCATCCTGCCCCTTAATTAGAAAGACAAAAGCATTTGCCTACCTTTTCAATACGAAAATTGGTGATATTGATCAGATCCTCAGTCAAGCTTCTCGAGATATGAACTGAAAATGTGTCATTTAGGCTTCTCAAAGGTGCTTTTATACAAAGTCGTCGCCTACATATGTAATCTTACAGAAACAGTCTACTTGGAACACTGGTGTGATTGGTTTAGCTACGATGACGTAAGAATGACGTCTCATTCAATATTTTGGTTGGTTAACAGTTAGTAAATCATCAAGCATCGTGTAAAAAAAATAATAATAATTTGAAGTAGGACGAGTTTTTAATCCCATTTCAAGTTAATAATTTCTGAGTTGAATTATTAAATGTTAGTAAGTATTTTAGGTTGAACACTTAGGGCAACTATGGATTTCCATGAAGATTATTGCTAAAGCTTGCCAGAGTAATATTGTCAAGTATATAGATCAACAAAAGCCACCTGGTTCCACAAAACGTATCAGTTTTGGTGAACTAACGAGTGGTTTGATACACAATATTTATGCACAATTATGCAAAGGCTTAGAAAAAATCATTCATTTCATGAGGGGAATTAAGTTTTTTGTTAGCTCGCAGTAAAAACTTTTTGTTTGTTTGTAATTAAGCACAAAGCTACACAATGGGCTGTCTGTGCTCTGCCCACCACGGGTATCGAAACCCGGATTCTAGCGTTGTAAGTCCGCAGACATACCGCTGGGACACTGGGGGGCAAAAAAAACTTTTTGTAATTTAGTAAAAAAGAAAAAATCATATGAGGTCATAATATGCAATTTGTCATGAGTATTATGAAATTGTTTTTAAATTTTTACAGTTTATATGGGGTCTCTTTTTAAAGTTTTCCTGCTATTTTATTTCTTTTTTAGCTTAAAGCACCAATTAATAATCTAACTATTTAATCAATCGAGTAGCATCAGAAGTTTAACTGATGTTCAGCGACCAAAACTTTTGCAATCTAATCTTTAACTGTTATTTTGATCTAGTTAACATCGTTTGTAGAACACTTGAAAAATAACGTTTTGTTGTGCAGTCGTACAAAATGAAATACATAAACCGATCAAATCTTATTCTATTGATTCAGCCATTCTTTAGTCCCACTAAATTTGTTGTTGCTTTTTATTGCTGTTTGAGGTATACCTGTTATTGTAATAGATTCAAATTATTTTGTGGAGTATACATTTTAGTCTGATTTTTACAATATCCAGATATTAATCATCTGTAGAAAAATTAATATATTCCAAGATCTCTTCTTTATATGTTCACGATAAGTAGATTTTGAATAAAATATTTGAAGTAATTAAACTTTACAATAGTTAAGAAAAGTGTCTGGATGTCACATCCTGAGGTAGAATTGTACAAAGCTGATAAAATCTTTCAGAACATTTTCAACCATTTAATACTCTGATAGTTAACATCTGTGGCACGAGGTTTCGGTAAGTAATTTTTGTTATGTTCCTAGCCAGTGTTCGTTTTGTTGTTGTTAACAGTAACAATAAGTTATCCGCATTTATTGTAACTAATCTTTTAGTGTTCTGTTGAAGAGTTAACAGTCGAATCTCAAACGTTACAGTTACAGGTCATTTAGTTTTCGAACGTTTGAGAGTCTAAAGATATAATATAAATATTTACAATTGTATGGGCTAATCGAAGCTGTGATATTGTAATAACCAGTAATTTTTTGTGGGATATTCTAAACCAGAAGACGTTTTATACACGCTTGAGACGCTGACCCTATCAGTTCAAACACATGAGACTTGCCAGTTCACCATTTTCGTATAGTATTGAAACCCGAAACTGAAAATTTCGGCTCGTAGAAACAACAAATATGCATTTTTCCATAATTGAATATTGTTATTCCTCTCCTAAGACTACTAGTGTGTTTAGCGTAATTACGTTTGAATATATTTTAGTTTGTGTCTGTCAAGTAGTCATGAAGAGGTATTCAAGAGTTTGTAAGTAAAAATGTACTCAAGTAAAAGCACTAAACGTACTTAGACCGTGGAAATTAACTTGAAACTAATATGAATGTATTAGTAAATAAAGTATACAAACGTTTTGTTTTTCCTTTTCAAAGCTTTTTCAGGTTTAAAATTACGTAGTTATAAAGCAGGGCTTTTAAAAGTATTAAATGAAATAGTTTTGGTAATTTGAGTTAATATATACACATATAAAAGTCCTCGGGGGTCAGCAGTAAATGTATTAAAGTAACCTATATATAAAGAATAATTTGCATAAGGGTAATATTCCCGTGATTTAATATTTGTATTTATTTTTTTCCCTTTATGCATAACTTATATTCATTTTCCGTCTGTCATAGGATTATAAAGTATCTTTCTTTTCTTTCCATTAAACAAACTGTATGATTGTTTTGCTACTGGCAACTTATCCACCTCTTGTTTAACTCATAAATGGCATCTTGTTGAAATACTTAACATTCTCTTGTTAAACTCTTTAACGCGATTTTCTTACATTTCGAAAAGCTCTCTCTTTTTTTCATTTGAACATTAGCATAACTGTCTAATATGCAGAATGACATTTTCTTATCTTAAAATGAAGATATCTTTATTCAGATAAATTTTCAAAATTTACACAGGATACTATAATTAGATTTGTACGTCAACTCGATGTACCGAGCTGTAAACCACATTTAATCCTGCCATTAGATCACTCAATCAGGACTGGTATAAATATATCTACTTCTGCATATTGCCAAATAAGCTAGGTAAGTCGTTAAGTACGTTTTCACGACTTCGGACCTGCTGGAAATATGCTGAGGTAGAAACATAAGGAACTATGCTTTCCTTTCCTTTAAGTAAAGAGGTTAGTCTTCTGACGTGTGTGACATGGCATTCGGAGAAAGTCCTGGACTTGGACATAGTTTTAAATGATATTAGTGGTAGGAAAGAACTCACCCTGACTTTCCCCTGCGGTCCGTCCAGTGTTGCCATGCTTTGGCAGTGATTGTTGATGTACTAAGAAACTGGCCATTTCAACTGAAATAAACAGACATCACGAGCCACTATTTTCTCCGGTTAAATAAAGTTCATTCTTTGTTTTAAAGTGAAACAACTATGTACAGTCTGTTTCTTTCTGGTCGATTTTAACCGAACGTAGAGCGAAAAAAAAAATTCGGCAATTTTTATACTTTCAGCCTCAAGATAAATGTATTTGTAAGTGCACAGCTTTCTGCATATATTTCATGGAATACAAAATAAAATGTTTGAATGTTTCACAAGCAGCTAATAACACTGGTGGCGTTATTTAGTTTGTCGAGGAGGAACATGGTCAATCATAATCTTAGAGTTATAATTTATTAACTTTTCGGTATATTCCGCTTCCACTTTTTGAAAATGAAACTCCTGCAAGTCATTGTGAATCATTTATTTCCAATATTAAAAATTTCACCTTTTTGATTAAAAATGCATTCAAAATTTGGAAAATGAAGATAATTTCACATGAGAACAATTTGAAATGAATCATGTAAAAGACAAACATATTTATACAGATACTTGAAGTCAGAGGTACGTGTACAATATTTCAGTATTTTGTTTGCTATTGTAAGAAAATTACGAATTTGTTCGAGGCGAAAGCTGGTAATGTATATATTGTATTGTAAAATAGTATTCACATTTTGATTGTTTATTTAAGTTCAAATATATATAATACATACTACCGTTATTGAATTTATTTAAATGAGATTTAATTATTTTTACTAAAAACGTGTCATTGATTATGAATTAAATGAAACTTTCAGTCTTTGCTTGAATATTAAGTCAATTAAGTGTTCAAAGATTCTCTTGTTAATTTTACAGCAATATTTTTTCTTTTCGTAGATTCGTTCATTATGAACTGAATATAGTTTCAGTCTCTAGTTTAATATTATAACGGTTAAGGTAAAATAACGGTGATTTGTGTACACTTTACCTTTGGTGAAATTGAAAAGAAATATGTAACATATATATATATATAATCATTATATAATTGGTCCGATATATAATGTGAAATAATGATTTGGGCACGAGCTCTAATATTATTCAAATACCTAAATTATTTTAGGTTATTTTATTGGTGATTGAAAAGTACTTAAAAACCCATTAATGTTGTATACAAGTCGCAGCTATAAGAGGCCTAACTGTATTTCTTTGATTTGCCACCCTAAGCTGTGTTGAAGAGCTTTCAATAGGCGAAACTACAGACCATAGCAGAGGGTATGGCCAATCAACGAAAACATTAGGCTTCTACGTCACAGATTAATCCTTTCAACTTTACCTTTGGTGAAATTGAAAAGAAATCTGTAACATATATATGTAATCATTTCTCACCTTTGATTAATTAATTTTCTTTAACTTTGTTTAACGCAAACTGGAGTATATTCCGAGACAGTTCTATAAATGTAAGTAAAATCACGACCGATATCTTCAGAATGTAACTTTATTAGCTCAATATTTCGCTATTACAGCTTCGTCAGGAGCTACCAATATCCTACAAGTTCCCTAATACAGTTAAATCTAAATGGGAACACTGTCATTCGTAAATCGAACATTGATAGATGTGTTTAGAAAGTTCATATTATATTAAAATAACTAGCTGGAGTACCAATCCCCTGAACGAAAGTTATGTAAGTTCATGATTAATGAAAGGTTATCTTAGGACATGAAAAGATGCTTCCCTTAAGTGTAATTGTAAGAAACGCAAAAACGTTCATGAAACTAACAAAACACAAAATGTGTAACCGCAAGTTTGCATTTATCTCCGTATGGACCCAACAAACCTTCACGCCATCAACAGGGAGCAAAGTAGTGATAAAAAAAAAACGCTCATAAAAACCGCAAAATGCAAAACTGAAAATTTGTATGTATCTCCCCAGGAACACAACAAATCTTCATTCCAAATTTGGTGAACATCCGTCTAAAGGAGAGAAGTAGTGGTAAAAACTCGAAAACGCAAAAACGCCCACAAAAAACGCAAAACTGAAAATTTGTATTGTGTCTCCCCATGGACACAGTGAACCTCCATACCAAATTTGGTGAAGATCCATCTACAGGGGCGGAGTAGTAGGTAAAAAACGCCCATAAAAACCGCAAAATGCAAAACTGAAAATTTGTATGTACCCCCGCATGGACTTAATG